TTCACCAACGACATTCCCATCCCGTCGAAAGGTGTTCAACTCTCCCTCTTCGCAGACGACACTGCCATCTACTGCAAAGGTGTCTCACTACCCTTCATACGGAACAAGATCCAAAAGTCAGTTGATGACCTAGGAGCTTGGTTCAAAAAATGGCGCATCGATGTGAACCCGGAGAAGAGCTCCGCCGTTCACTTCGATTATAAACGACGCCGTCTCAAAAACGCTCCACCAATACGTATGCTAGGGACCCCTGTCCCCTGGCATACGTCCGCCAAATATTTAGGTGTCACTCTAGACACAGGGCTCACTTTCAAGCCCCACGTCAAAAGAGTAACCCGTCACGCACGTTTTTATCTGTGTAGGCTCAACAGTATGTTGGGCCGACACAGTAAAATGTCCCTTCGAAACAAGCGTACCCTTTACAAGGTCTGTATACGACCAGTCATGTCCTACGCGGGCCCCGTCTTTGCCCACGCAAACCCTAATATTTTAAATGAACTCCAAATAGTTCAGAACCTCTTCTGTCGTCGAGCTGCGAACGCACCTTGGTACGTCCGTAATGCCGACCTTCATCGGGACTTAGAGCTCCCAACAATTCAACAATTTTTTAAAAAACTCTCTGAGAACTTCTTCAAAGCCTCAGAGTCGCACCCAAACCATTTAATTCGTGAGGCCGCTTCTTATGCAGCCCCACCCCCCTCTCGCTATCGTGTCCGCAGGCCGAGAAACTCTCTCTCGGACCCGCCTAATAAACTTTCAAACGACCTGAACTGTCTCCTGGCGGCTCAGGCCAACTCTAATTAAATAAAATTATTGTAATAACTAACATTAATTTGCCTTCGTAGGCACTCCCTCAGCGGCACTTAGCCGCCTGCGCCCTCTTTTCCCAAAAGAGGGTCGCTCATGATAAGGCACAATAGAGCTTAATCAGCCGGTTGCCTGTCCCCAAAGGCGGTTTTTAGAGGGTATCACTTAGGGTCCCCGGTAGGACAGTGAGCCCCTCATAACCACGATAGACCGGCTATCGTGGTATGCGTAATGCATTTTCCGCCTCCCTACGTATAGGGTAGCCCTTTAATTGCTTCGGGCGCAAAAAAAAAATGAAATATGGGTCAGTCGTAATTTTTTACTTTGTAGTGAACACACGTGAACAAGTAACCCAAGTAAGAACAAGTAAAGATGGACACCAGCTCTGAAGAAGCCGCTCAAGTGATTGCCCTATTGACATCTGTGAGTGTTTCTACAATAAGAAGAAGATTACACGAAAAGAGTTTAACAGCCCATTGACCTGCTAAAGGTTCAAAACTTACTGCACAGCATCGCAGAGATCGCCTAGAGTATGCTCGCAATCATTGCGAGTGGACTCTAGAACAGTGGCGGACCGTACTCTTCTCTGATGAGACGAGGGTCTGTCTCTTCTGCAATGACAGACGTAGAAGGGTCTACAGAAGACAGGGGGAGAGGTTAACACAACCTTGCTTCGAAGAATCCGTCGAATACAGGGGTGGCTCGTGTATGTTTTGGGGTGGCATTTCCGTCGACGGGAAAACGGAACTTGTGTTCGTTTCCCGGACTCGGGGTGGCCGTGGGCAAGGGTCATTAAATGCTGGTCGGTACATTACTGAAATCCTGGAGGAACATGTGGTCCCGTATGCTGGTTATGTCGGTGATGGATTCATGTTAATGCACGATAATGCTCGTTGCCACACCGCGGCTATTGTACGGGATTATTTACAGGAGGTCGATATCCCTGTTATGCATTGGCCAGCACGAAGTCCAGACCTTAACCCAATAGAACATCTCTGGGATGACCTAAAACGGCGCGTGCGAGCTCGAGATCCAGCTCCAACCACTCTTCAAGAGCTCCAAGATGCGGTACTTGAAGAGTGGGAACAAATACCCCAAGAGGCTGTTGCGACCCTTGTAAGGTCCATGAAAGATCGCATGGAAGCCGTTATCAAGGCAAGGGGGGGTAATACTAGGTTTTAAGAACTTTTTTTGTATTTATTAAATTTTTTTTAAATTATTAATTTGCAAATTTGTACATACCCTGTCTTTTTCTTTAATTTCTCTTTCGTCTCGTTATAAAAGTAAAATTCAATTAAAATTCCTGAAAGCTAATGAAATTACCTTTCGAATGATACCCTCAAACCACAACATTGCCATTGGTCTGTTGCGTTAAATAGTATTTAAATTATTTTTTTCGGATGAGCGATTTTTTTGACGCCGAGTGTATTACTAATTCTGTCATTCAATAAAAATAAAGAAAAATGAACTTTATTTCAAGCACGTTAAAGTCTGCGTTCGTGTATTTGTACTATGACCACAACATTCTTCCGGAATTAGTATAACTAATTTGATAAATAATCAGTGCATAAAAATGTTTAACTAAAAATTCAGTGTATGTATTATGATTATAACATAATATACTAATTGGTGCCTGAGGGTGTGCGTTAATTACGTTACATATTGTATATATAATATGTAAGTGGAATAGAAGCTATCTTCGAAAGTATTTGTAAAGTATAACAAAATATAACTAAGCAAAATTTCCGAATATCCAAAAAAAGTTGATAAAAACAATCCATCCTACGTAGTTTGCGTAAATCTAGTGAATGAAAGGTGTAAGAGCAAGCGAGACGCATGCACATTTATTTCGTTATATAGTCGCCAGGCGGCCAAGTTCTGCAGCCGACAAATCGTTTCAGCCAACATTTTTAGAATCAGCCGACGCGCCCCTTACGTTAACAAAAAACCGGCCAAGAGCGTGTCGGGCCACGCTCAGTGTAGGGTTCCGTAGTTTCCTGTCCGTCACAATAAGTGTTCCCCCCTTATGACTTTATGAGGTGGGTATCCATTATGTTCGCGCTCCATCAGCGCTCCGCGCTCCTGCTCCCGGTAGTGGGTACTGTTGTTTCCACCTACGTTCAAAATGATTTTCCTAGAAATTCCTTATAAAGTTCTATTTTTCAGATTTTTTTCATATTTTCTAAACTTATGGTTCAAAAGTTAGAGGGGGGGGACACATTGTTTTTACTTTTGGAGCGATATTTCCGAAATTATTGACATTATCAAAAAATGATTCTAGTAAACCCCTATTCATTTTTAAATACCTTTCCAACAATATATCACACGTTAGGGTTGAAATTAAAAAAAAATCACTTCCCACTTTACATATAGGGGGGGCTACCCTAATAAAACATTTTTTTCCAATTTTTATTTTACCACTTTGTCGGCGTGATTGATACACATATTGGTACCAAATTTCAGCTTTCTAGTGCTAACGGTCACAGAGATTAAGCGAGGACGGACAGACGGACAGACAGACATGGCGAAACTATAAGGGTTCCTAGTTGACTACGGAACCCTAAAAAAGTATTTTTCTCTTATAAGTATTTAAAGACTTGATATTTATTTTTGATTTTGACTGTAGCGTTGGTCTAGTGGTTGTAATAGTGTGACAGCTGATTATGAGTTCATGGGTTCGATCATGAGTTCATAGATCAGCATATACAGGTAATTAGTAAAAAAACTGTCGATAAAAGAATGAGATTTAAAATAACAGCACTTCTCATTGCCATTATTACATTAATAATGCCGTCGCGTGTCGCATGTTTGTAAATAGTAAAAAAAATGTGAAACAGAAAATCGTAAGTAGGTAAATTACCTTTCTTCGGTAGTTTGGTCATGTAGAAAGAATAAATAAGGAAAGAGTGACAAAGCAAATTTATATGGCAGATGTGAACGGCTGAGTCGGGAAGGGACGCCCTAGACGAAAGTTTATCGACCAAATTGGCGATATTTTGAAAATGGGCCACATTAGAGGCGAGGGAGGTATGTCAGGATCGTGCCAAATGTAAGTCCGTAGTCTCTGCCTACCCCACTGGGTGACTGGGGTGAGTATTTATGTTATTATTATAAAACATTTGTAAAATTATAGTGGCATGGGCTTCAACTACTCTCTCTACTCCGTTCAACTTTTACATCCTATTTTTTCCAGACGGTAAAAATAGTCGTATATATACATATCGTATCGTTATAAATATATATATATATATATATATATATATATATATATATATATATATATATATATATATATATATATATATATAATAACAAAGCTATGTTCATATATAAAAAACTACTCTTATCATCATTAGTTGATAGGAATAGTTTTATATGTCGTTTCGTATGTAGTACTGGATGTCTGGAATTCTGGGAAAGAGGTATCTTTGCGAGGATTTTCATTATGTCAACCTCTTAAAGTTCGCAAGCTTGCTTATATGTATAGTTAGTTAATTCTTAGTTAATCCTCACGTTACACCTCGTCGCCGGTCCAGGTATTTTACATTGGGTTATAAAAATACTATAGATATATAACAAGCCTCACATACACTTATAACTATGATGTTGGTTGCAAATAATTCTTTGTTAATTATAATTTAAAGTAAAATGACATGTGGACAAATAAAACGCAACAAAGTCTTTGAAGTTTTGATTTTAAATTAAAAATTAAACAAAAACTAATAAAATATGGAAATTAATTTAAATTTTAGCTTCATCGAAATGTCAAAAAAATACGTGTTTCGTCAAAATTAAAGAAACAAACAAAAACCAAACCCAAAACTAAAACTTAATGAATTTGGTATGGTAATCCGTTTGTGTGAACAATAGTAAAAGATCGTAAAACTTTATTTTATCACTAACATTTACGGTATATTGTTGGCGATGTTTTGTTTGTTATAAAAACAGATGTGCTTCCAAATTTTTGGAAGGTAGTGTATATTTACTATTGTATATGTAGGCTGTGCTTTTAAGAATTTGTAACTAATTTACAAAAAAGGAAACATATATACAAGGAATCAGTCCAGTCTTCTCAAAGTTTACGAAGAGTCCTTGTAAAGGTTCTAGAAGTTTTATATAAAGATATGTATTGTTATATAAACAAGTTAGAATAAGAGTTCTGGTGTCGTGATAATTAAAAAAGTTAAGCTTACCTCTTAAATTACTACTCTTGTGTTCAGTCCTAAGGCCGATAGTCTGATGTACACCTCCATCTAGTTTTACAAGAACCTCCGATTCTTTAACTGGTATGGAGGTTGGCTTATAACATCATTTGTGGTCAAATGGAATGACATCACACAATGCGTCTACTTTTCCCCCACCAACGTACAGTACAGTACAGTTGTTGGATGTTACTTGGCCGGGATTTGAAGATATATTGCCGTCCACATTGTTCTTTACGAACTCGACATCAGGACTGGTGCCATGATTCTGGTCGTCCTCAAATGTTGATCTGACAGCAGGAGGTGATTCGGCGACAGAAGTGAAGCATCTATTCTGAATGTTATCAGGAGTTATTTCAGGTTCTATGACGGATGAATTGGCGACGGAATTGGAATCATCATCCTGTGTGTTTTCGGGCTTAACTTTATCAAGCTCTATGACAACAGCAGGGTGGTAACCGGTTGCACAAGTGGCAGCACAACTCTGGTCTTCCTCAGACTTGACGATGGTCAAAATATTGGCTTTCTTTGAAATGACCGTAGCATCGTCGCCTACATGTACGTCGACTAAATTACCGCGATCCGGGATGTTCTCGGACGCAATTTCCACAGGCTCGATGACGGTTGAAGGCATTGATCCGGCGGTGGAAGTTGTGCGATGATGGTTTGGATTATTGGAAACAGTGACCTTAGGATCCTTGATAGGAAGAGGCCTACACTCGGAGACGGATAAGGTGCTACAACTCTGGGTATTCTCCAACTCGATTACCGGTTCAATTACCGTAGGTAGCCCAGGTTCAGCGACGGAAGTGGGATCATCCTTCTGAGTGCTAAAGGACTTCATTTTTTCAAGGTCAATGGTTCTACCTCCATTCTGGCTGTCGTCGGGGCTACTAGACAAATTATGTATTTCGTTCGAAGTGACTGTAGAATTCCAGTCTGGAGGAACGTCGAAGAATTTACAACCCCGGCCTTGAAATTTGATGTACACTGCCCCGCACCCACACGTGAATCGGCGCTTAGCTTTCATCAAGATCGGGACGTCATTTTTTGGAACTAAGAAGATCAAGAACCAAGCATTTGGCTGTTCCTCAGCACGAGTTAAAAACCAGCCCTCCATGTTTACCCAAGAGTTTTGATAGACCAACGCACGAACAATATCGTGTGACGCTTTCCAAACGCCTTGATCGTTCGGGATTAAGATGCCGCAGCGTACTGTTTCGGGTATCCCATCCTGTTGCACGACTACCAGCGAAACGCCAGTAGGTACGTCTAAACCGGACAATGTATCATTTAGCCACTGTAAAGTTTTCTGGTCACCGCACCATAATTTAAGGACGCCCTTTATGAAGACCGGTTTGGCTTTAAAAACAGGTCCTGACGAACCAAGCTCCTTAACGTTACGCGCCTCGCTGATGATTTTGTTTTGAATATCAGCAAGGACTTTGTCAGCCACTTCTTTCGATAACCGGCCCGTCTGTGAGCAAGTAATTGCAACGTCCAACAAATTTGAATCTTTCGTGTTGGCATTAACCTCCTCAGTCTGCTCTAAATCCTTACATTGTTTCATAGCAGCTCGTTCCTTCTTACCAAGTCGTTTTACGGTCTTCAGTTTTTTGGTAAGACCCTTCGTACCGATACTGGAACACGACCCTTCGACTGATGGTTGCTTTGCACCACTAGTCTTGGGTAGCCCTCCAGAATCAACACAAGATGACCTCGCTAATAATGGAACCTCGCCAGGAGATTTCTCCTGCAGTACAGAAGCAGCCATTTCAGCCTGCAGACGAGCCTTAATATGCTGCTTTCTGTTTTTCTTTTTTGCCTTCTTTTTATTGACGGCAGCTAGTGGTTTTTCGATGGGACGGGTAGCTATAAGCACCGACTTTTTCGATTTTTTGCCTTTACCATTAAAGCTTTCCACTTCCCAGGCGCCAACGCCAACGGCATTTGCGTTACGGGTAGGTTGTATAAGAGCCGAGACAAGAGAGTCGGTACCGGTACCGACTGTTGATTTACTTGGTTGTGTACTCGGTTTGTGACCAATGCCCTTGGTTTTCACCATAGGCTGACCTTTGGCTTTACACACATTGTTATTGGGCACAGAATTCGGCCCCGATGTCATTTTAGCAATTTTCATAGGCGGTTTGTTATGGAGTGCCTTTTCAATTAGGCTCCGTTTCACCGGTTTTGTAAACAGCGGAGGTTTGGTCATGGGAGACACGGGGGCTGTATTATTATAAGTATTTAACTGTGGAGTTGAATTTTTATAGCTGTCATTATTGCGGTGCGATGCGGCTTTATATGAGTGCCTATCATTTTGGGTCAAAGCAGGTTGAGATTTGGAGGAACAAGGCTTTGGAGAGGTGTGGTAGTCGTAACTTTGGTAAAGTTCTTGATGTTCATTAGACAGGTGTCCAGTATATTGTGTTGTTTCATTCACTATAGTTACCTGAAATTATATAAATTATTAATTAAGTAGTAAAAAGCCACACACTTTTTAATTTCATTGTTTCAACTGAAAATATAGTCTATATATAATAATTGTTAGAGCCACGCTGCAACTATATTATAGTTGTAGTATGAATGGGGAGGACCGACGAGCCGACGAGCGACGACCAGGACGAGCTCGACCGGGGAGGACCACGCTCTCACAAAATACCAGCGTAAAATAGCATAATGCTGCTGTATTTCGTATAGTGAGAGTAAAAGACCGGTGACCTGAATCACTGGAATTGAGGCATTCCATTGTAGTCCTCATGTGAGACAACATATCTGCATTTTGGTTCTTAAGCCTACAGTGGTCGCGTGGATTACAATAGTAAACCACTGTAAAATAATCTCAAATTTAGATATTTCTGAAACCAAGTGATTAGAAAAAAATATGTAAACTGATTTGTGATCTGATATTTTCATACATTAATATGTAAAATTTTTTAAATATTATAATTTGAATTAAAAGCACGGTTTTTGTTTATTAAATTTGATTAACCGTTGACCAAATATTACCTTGTTTCATATTTAAAATAAAATAAAAATACATTTTAGTTAATATTTTAAAGATTTCTTATTTTTTACATTGAACGCCACGCGACCATTTACGTTATTTTATAGGGCGCGACCACTGCAGGGTTCGAGGATAGACGTAGATGTCTATGGGCCACAGCATCCGCTTACCATCAGGTGGACTGTCTGCTCGTTGTCACCCATATTCTATAAAAAAAGATATAATATTTTTTTATGTACAAACCTGTTTACTATATGGCATGTGTGAATATCTATGGACTTGAGCTGGTGGTCCAATTGTATTTTGGTTAACCTCCGCATCAGAAAGCACAAGTGCTGTATCTCCATCTTCCGTTTGAGGCTAAAGAATTAAAAACGTTTAATACCGGAGAAAATGTCAAAAAAGAATGAATACATTCTTAATATTGCTATAAGATGATAGAGTATAATTATGGTTCTAGCATGAATGGACTGGCTGGCTTGACCGGGAAAGGACCACGCTCTCACAGAATACCAGCATAAAATAGCAGCTTATAACTGCTGTGTTTCGTATGGTAAGTGTAGAGAACTGAAGACCCTTTTCATTGGAAACGAGGCATTCCACTCCAAGAATGACAACGCATCTGCAGCTTGATTCTTAATTACAGAGAGATGTCGATGTCTAAGAGTCTTTACATCCACTTACCATCAGAAATAGTTGTGCTCGTTTGTCACCCCTATTCTATAATCTAACTGTATGAATATTTTAATTTAGAACAGAGAAGTGGGCTTCTAGATTAACTTCTGCTGAACATGGGCTTCCTCCCGTTGTATGGAGGATTTACCTTCATCATCACGCTTGACAGATTGACGATCGCAGTATCAGACGTCTCGCACCTTAAACGCTGTTCCTCGCAACTAGTTTGGGTATTTTACGTTCGGCGTAAGCGCGATGATTATACTGCCAGCTATGGAAGCCATAACATCCTTCTGGCAATCTCATAGTCACCTCTTACGACACCTTCCAAGCAACCAATATTAAACCATACATTATAATTATTAACTGTACGTTCCATACATCATAATGTTGCGCGCCATAATTAATGCCTGGTACATGGCGAGTTACCACTGGCGCCATCCTATCGAGAAGCAGAACTAGTAGAGTCAAGTTTTTATAGAAATTATCATGGTAGAACTTTCTACACCTAGCCAGTCGGGACCGGTATGTAATCGAACATTCTAGATGTATCAGTAGAAGAGGCCCTATATAAGTCTGGTAAGGAAAAGTTGAATTGACAATTCAAGCATACACTTCAAAGCGATACAACTGCGAACTAAAGTGATCAGTAGTAAAATTGTGTTATTATTAATGTGTTTTAAGTTGTAATTAGTGTTCTGTAATTAAAGTGTCAATTTTGGTAATTCAATCGGCAGTTTTTACTGTCACGAATATTCAATTTATAATTGATAGAAATTTAATTGATAGAAAACCCAATAAACAGATGATGGTTTTACGATTCCACGATTTTCCACGTTTCCACGATTTGTACATCGTAATCAGCAATCGCATACAGGACAACCAGGCCAATGAAAATCGCACCTCTCTGAGTTTGCGCGAAAAATGGCTGCAATGGCTAGAAACGAATTATATTTATATAAATATTGGTATGTTTGAAATGGGTATTTGAATAGCTTTACATTATTAATAAAAAAATCATGAAATCATTAAAACATTTATCATTATAGAGCGTCAAAAATAAACACACGACCTGAACTGTCTCCTGGCGGCTCAGGCCAACTCTAATTAAATAAAATTATTGTAATATCTAACATTAATTTGCCTTCGTAGGCACTCCCTCAGCGGCACTTAGCCGCCTGCGCCCTCTTTTCCCAAAAGAGGGTCGCTCATGATAAGGCACAATAGAGCTTAATCAGCCGGTTGCCTGTCCCCAAAGGCGGTTTTTAGAGGGTATCACTTAGGGTCCCCGGTAGGACAGTGAGCCCCTCATAACCACGATAGACCGGCTATCGTGGTATGCGTAATGCATTTTCCGCCTCCTTACGTATAGGGTAGCCCTTTAATTGCTTCGGGCGCAAAAAAAAATGAAATATGGGTCAGTCGTAATTTAGACTTTGCAGTGAACACACGTGAACAAGTAACCCAAGTAAGAACAAGTAAAGATGGTGATTGCCCTATTGCAGTCGGGGATGCGTCAGTGTGACGTTGCTCGACAGTTGAACCTGTCCCGTTTTTTCAGTTAGAAAGCCGGGACCTGGAAGAAAACGGTGCACATCAGAAAGAGATGACCGTTTCATCGTTACATCTTTACGAAACCGTTTTACAAATGCTGTTGAGTTGCAACAACTCTGAGAACATCTGTGAGTTTCTACGATAAGAAGAAGGTTACACGAAAAGAGTTTAACAGCCCATAGACCTGCTAAAGGTCCAAAACTTACTGCACAGCATCCCAGAGATCGCCTAGAGTTTGCTCGCAATTATTGCGAGAGGACTCTAGAACAGTCGCGGACCGTACTCTTCTCTGATGAGACGAGGGTCTGTCTCTTCTGCAATGACAGACGAAGAAGGGTCTACAGAAGACAGGGGGGAGAGGTTCACACAACCCTGCTTCGAAGAATTCGTCGAATACGGGGGTGGCTCGTGTAGAAAACGGAACTTGTGTGCGTTTCCCGGACTCGGGGTGGCCGTGGGCAAGGGTCATTAAATGCTGGTCGGTACATTACTGAACTCGGGGTGGCCGTGGGCAAGGGTCATTAAATGCTGGTCGGTACATTACTGAAATCCTGGAGGAACATGTAGTCCCGTATGCTGGTTATGTCGGTGATGGATTCATCTTAATGCATGATAATGATGGTTGCCACACCGCGGCTATTGTACGGGATTATTTACAGGAGGTCGATATCCCTGTTATGCATTGGCCAGCACGAAGTCCAGACCTTAACCCAATAGAACATCTCTGGGATGACCTAAAACGGCGCGTGCGAGCTCGAGATCCAGCTCCAACCACTCTTCAAGAGCTCCAAGATGCGGTACTTGAAGAGTGAGAACAAAAACCCCAAGAGGCTGTTGCGACCCTTGTAAGGTCCATGAAAGATCGCATGGAAGCCGTTATCAAGGCAAGGGGGGTAACACTAGGTTTTAAGAACTTTTTTTAAGCTATTGCATAGCTTGTATCGCGGGCCTTGAGTGCGGGAAAATCCAGAAATTCCGTAACGAAAAAACCTCACGACGGGCACGGAGGTGTGGCTTGAAGGCCGTGCATTGTCTAACGATGGTCTAACGTCGTTTCTTTTCCTCAGTCTTCGACACGGTGTTTGTGTATAAAGTGTTTTGAAATTTTGAATATGAATGAACAAAGTGCATTTATTATTAATGAAGAAAGTCACGAAAAAATAGTGTAAGAAAATGAGTGAGTACTCTATATACATACCTACATTTTATTATTATCACAAATGCAGTACTAATTTTGAATTGAAAATATAATACTGCTATAAAGATAACCTAAATTTTTGATATTAAAATGAGCGATATTAAAAGTAGCCCTCTTTATATACACACAAACACACACACGCGTATAGTTTAAATTCTCAATTTAGATTCTCAATATGTATATATATACTCGATTAACCGGACTAATTGTTGCCGTTATGGATTCGGATAATCGAAAATCCGGATGATCGAATGTATGAAGAAAAGCGGGTTTTGTGCATTTGTAGTACATATGTACATACATAATGTTATGTGTTTATCAAAAACAACAATTTCAACGAAAATCAATGTTTATTAAGAAATTATTATTTTTTAATAAACATTGATTAAATTCCATGAAGAGATATAAATCTATATAACCATCCGTTACTTGCGACAAACGAGCCGCCGTCACCTAATTTTTTATTTAACTGTAATGTTTTTCACAAAGCAAAGGGCCAGATATCATTTGCCCAGTTGATCGTTTTTGTAAAAACCAACAATACAAAGCGTCTTCTAATTGCCAATTTACTCGCGGACATAGGTCCTTATGTCCGGGACGGGGGTTTGTTAGCGCCTGATAGAAGATCGTCTTATCTCAAGCGGTGTGAAGCGACGATTAGTGAGGTGCGGGAGGGGGGAGGTTAGCTGCATTTGTGCGCGCGGTCGATCACCCCTAAAGTTGGGCGTTATAACATACAACAGATAATATATTCATTATATATTTTTAATCTTACAACACATTAGAATAATGAACCATTGACTGTTATAATATTATATTCATTATCGTTAGAAAGCGTCATCTGTTTACGTTTACGGTCCAACCGTCGCGTCGGCCGAGACAATGGGAGTCAATACCACATTCACTACTTACTCACTACCTACATTCATTGTGCCACAAGGATTGCGTATAGCTTACACTAATTTAAACTCTAAGCTAACTTGATAAGAGCTTATTTTACTAACACTAAATTATAACGGTAAACAAAAATATATTATTTCCTTCATTAGTTGCCTGTTGTGCCTGTTATTTAATTTGGCTGTTGTAATATATAATATATCAGTTTAGTGTTCAGTTAGCTGTCTAGCTGAGATGACAATGACACTGTTATCTGTTAAATTATATACGTAATGTTTTGATAGCAGGTCCCTCATATTACGTGAAAAAGCTATTGTTGTTTTTGTTTATTTTTCGTTAAGTTTTATTCCTAAAGTAATTTTAAATATTTAGTGTAATATAGATAGGATTTAACGTGTTGTATGTAAAGTGTATAATAATGTCACGCCAGCGTAGCGCAGCCATTTGGAACTATTTTATAGTCCAAAGTGGGGACGAAAAAAAAACCAGTGTGCAATTATTGCAAAACAATTTTTTTTTAAGTACAATTACAAATTTAAAGCTTCACCTTAAGCAAAGACACGTAGGAGTGTATGAAGAGTTTTGTCGTTCGGATTTAATATCGGATAGACGCAAAAGACTTAAGTACGTCGTCAAAAGTAAACCAAATTATATTTTTGAATAGTAACTGAAAAAAATGTAAATAATTGTAGATAACTAAAACTTTGACCACAGTGTAAATAATGTAAAAATTCAATCAAAATGACGTAACATCAATGAGCTTCTAACTACGCCTGAATGAGTTATTTATTTCTTTTAAAAATTAATTATTTATTTAAAAAAGTAAATTTTTGAAAATATGAGTAAATAATTATAACAGATACAATAATTACACAACTTAGCATACATTCAGACATCCTTAAGCCTATAAAAAGTAGGAAGGGAAGTTCATTGAACTGAACATAAATATTTTAAATCATTCTCTTTAAAACACGAAACACTTAATTGATGCTGATACAACTTTTTTTTAGTGGTAGAACCATGCTGCAGTTATATT